GTTTGACATCTTTGATACAAGTAACGAGTTCACTTCCAAGTGAACAACCCGATAGTCTTCTTCTTATCATAGCATACCAACCAGCGAACACCCAGCCAAGTTTAGTTAGCCAGTTTGAGTATTCGTTACACTAGGCTACTAGATAAAGACTATACCTAAATAATGTATATAATTGATATATAAAGATTAGATTATAGCTTATAGTAGTAGAACTTAAAATTATATTAAGAGTTTTATATTAAGAGTTTAAATTTATAGAACTTAACTAAATTATAGAGAGAGTTTATAATAATAATCATATTTGTTTTATTTACTTAAATTTATATTTAAAGATTAAATTAAGTTATTACATCTAGTTCCTTCTAATAAGAATTAATAGTATTATACTTATAAGGAACCTCCTACTTAATAAGAATTTATCTTTAATCGATACGTCGATATATCCTAGGTAAGTATCCGAAGTCTACCTTCTAAGACGTTATATTTACTTATATAGTATCTATTGGGTTGAAAGGGTATTGGGTACTGAAGGTCATGGAGAATTGATTGCATTGTAAAACGTAGCTATCTAAGGTGTTTATGTAAAGAGTGTAAGGTTTAGGCAGACATGAAGCATTTAGGCAGCAGAACTATAAGTGGATCAAATAAGGAAGTGGAGCAACAGAGAAAGTAGACCCAGCACAACAATTAGATACTGTGAGGGTTGGAACCCATGATGGAGGCTCGGGCCATGCCCTCGCTAAGCACTGACCAAAGTCCCTGCTCAGCACTGGCCATAACCCCACTGCCAAGCAAGTATCTTCTATTCTATACTTTTCTGTTCTATTCTCTTGACATCATGTATTTGTTAAGCAATTTCTTGGAATATTCTAGAAGCTCTTCCTCTCTCTATATATAGAGAAAGAGCTTGTATGTATGTAGTCTTCACGCACTTCTTAATTGAATATTCGAAACCACACCTTTGAGCTATTCGAGGTCTGGCCTCTCACAGATACCCCCTCTCTTATACTAAACCTTTATTTAGTTTTAGCCTTATCTCCTAGTTTTCCCTCTTTCTTGTTATTTAAAGTTCTATTACTTATACTAGAGCTATTAACTTTATATTCCTTAATTATATGTTTTCACTTATATCTTATATAATTATAATAGCGTTTGTACTAGGTAGTAGTATAAGTAAAATTATTAAAGTTATAATATAAAGCTAATATATTATTTAGCTCTTTCTTAAACCTAACTTTTTTAACTCTACCTTCTTATTTACCTATACCTGATCTACTACTATTTTAATTTAATATTCTCGAGTATAAATAATAGTATTATATAATGTATTATTCTAGAAGGAGCTACGTATTAGTATTATGTAAATTATTTTAAAACTTTCGTTCCTTATAAAATTAGATTACTAGTAGAAAGACTCCTTTTAGCTAGTTACACGATTTTATCAATCTTAATATCTTATTATAGAATACTATTTAAGCACTATTTAGACTTAGGTATTTATTTTTAAAAAAGTGTGACAGACGTGCTTCAGGTAGAACTCAGAACAATTAACACTCTATTCTTAGGACAAAAGACCAGGAAAGAAGGAGAGCTCGAGAGAGCTGGGAACTAAATACAGGTCGTGCGCGCTAGCGCCTCGCTAAGCGAGCATGTGACATCCAGCCCTCGTGACCATAACCGTCACATCACCCCCCCCTTTAAAAAGAGCTCGCCCCGAGCGTTGAAAATCTGAACTAATTGTGAAAAATACCCTTTTGCCAGGCATCTGGATGGTCAGGATCGTCCGAATCTACCTCCGCGCTATCGTAAGCATTGTCGTTCATAGCTGCTATTACTACTCTGCCTGGTCTTGCAATCTGCTTTCGTACTGGCTTTGGGAATGCCTCCCCAGCTGGTAGATCCCCCAAATCTATGGCTGATTTCCTTCCTTGTGGTCCTGGTGAGAAAGGACGGAGTATGCAATCGTTGACCCAGTGTTCCAAGGAGCCACATCGTACACACCTGCCTTCAGCTCTATATTGATCTCTACGCTCAGGGGAAATAGAGCGAGCGCGTGGAGGAGAGGATGGGTCGATGGAATTGATGCTAAAAGCATTTATGTCCATTGGTTCGCTGTGGTGGTTGCCAGAGGAGTAGGACTGTGTAGGTTGTGTAGACGAAGAGAAGCGGCCTGCTAATTGTTGTACGACGCGTATGAATGTAGTATAATCGCGAGGTAGGTTGAGTTGTTGAGAAAGTCGTCCGCGAAGAGTAGAATTAAGGCCATTCCTAAAGGTGGAAATTTTGTTGACATCTGGCCAGTCCTGACCTCTTGCTTCGTAAAGGACACGCTCAAACTTGGCGATATATGTAGGGACTGAGTCAGCACCTTGCTTGAGGGCAAATAGCTTGTCTTCCGCCTCCTGTACCTTGTTTGGATTGTCGTACACGCGCGCGAGCTGTTCGAGGATTGTTTGGTAGTCCCAGCTTTGGGTGTCTTCTGCTTGAGAGAGCTGTGGAAGGACCATGGCTTGGACGTGGGAGTCAAGGTTGAGGTAGACGTAGTAGAACTGCGCAATAGCGTCTCCAATAGCTGTACCGTCGACTCGTAGCTTTGCTTTGATTGAGGGAAGCCAGGTGTCGAATTTATGAGCCTGGCCAGTGAATTTGTCAGGGTCTGGGAGGGAAGGTTTAGGCTTTGCGGATGTTCTTGACCGGAGTAAGTGAATCTCGTCGCGCTGTCGCTGGACTTCAGCTTGCAACTCAGCGATGGCGGACTGAACTTGAAGGGCATCCATTGTAGAGAAGTCGAAAAAAGAAGAGGTTTCGTCGTGTTGTAAAGTGTAGGGTTCTTGCGCACAAGAAAGTGGTAGAAATCGTGAGAATTGAGACGTAAGATCGTGGACCTGAACTTGGACGTGAACGTGAACTTAGACCTGGGATACTTAGCTTCTACCATTCTCATAGTCGGCCATTGTGACAGACGTGCTTCAGGTAGAACTCAGAACAATTAACACTCTATTCTTAGGACAAAAGACGAGGAAAGAAGGAGAGCTCTAGTGAGCTGGGAACTAAATACAGGTCGTGCGCGCTAGCGCCTCGCTAAGCGAGCATGTGACATCCAGCCCTCGTGACCATAACCGTCACAGCCATTTCCCTTCCCCATACACCAACAAAGATATACACCGGATACGATCCCATAATTTCGGAGCACTGAAGTCTCTTCAATTCCCAAACCAAGTTAACTGACTTCATCAGAATCACAACTCTCCTCAAAACCACCGACGCGAGAAATCTTCGAGGCCTCTGGAGCGCCGGGTTGCGATATTTGCGAGAGATCAGAGCAAAAACCAGAACTCCTTAGCAGTATCACCAACATCAACGAAATGGAGCACGTCCCATCACTATCTGAAGTTATAGCCTATACAGGGTCTTTCGCTTCGCGGGATCCGCTGTATGCCGAGAATTTCGGACAAAAGTTCCCTCGATTTTCCTCATTGCCACTGGAAATTCGCTTCGTGATTTGGGAATATGTACGACCAGCACCAAGATACATCAAGCTGTCTTGCAGAGAATGCAAGTCGAAATCCAAGTGGGACAGAGACCCAAGAGGTTGCTGTTTCGCGCATCCCCTTTACAGTCGTGCACCACCACCAGCCTTGTTACACGTTAACTCCGAGAGTCGTGCGGTAGCCTTGAAATGTTATAGCCTCTCATTTGGTTGGGTAGTCTGCGGTCCGCCCAAAGTCACCTACTTTGATTGGGAGCGTGATGGGATATTCTGGGACTATGATGAAAGTCATGATGTTCGTGGACTTATGACTATAGGCCAGTTGAATAATATGAGCAAAGTACGTCTGAAGCATATCGTCTTCTACGGCCTCGACTCTAAACATGTTCGAAGTCACTTCTTTACGAGGGCATCTCTACTACGACTGTACACTGGACTGGAGTCGTCTATTGAGATTACTGTTGCGCCGAGAGGGATTGTCCGGGGATTCATTGAGCAAGATGACGAGGATTTGAAGCAGGAAAGTCTTAGAGCGAGAGCTATTCTTTTTTATGGAGAGGTTGTCAGATTTCTTACCGAAATTAGATTTCATTACGCGCTTCGACATATTCCATTGGGGTTCTGGTCCTGGGTCTGGGTTGCTACCATGGCGTTTATCATTTGGGATGTACGGAAAGTGGGGCGGGATGTTCAATGTGTACGTTCTTCCGCGAGCTGCTGGAGGCTGGAGGTTAGAAGTGAGTTGGATAAGATGAGCTTCTCTGAGCGTAGAGCGCTTTGGATAAAGTGTGTGATGTGATGGGAGAAGATGGGAAGTTCATTTGTACTTAGACATTAGAGGCGGGGAGCCGAAAAATCGACGCCCCCTCTCGCCCGCCGCCTAATTTTATCAGACATTCACCACCCCTAACTTGGTAGTCATCAGTAATTTAATTCCAACTTTTACACTGAATGGCTTTTGCACGTAGTAAGCCCCGCGTTGAGTGACTAAAGGGTATCTTTGTAGTTACTCGAGTAGAATTAAAGTCAATTGATTTTATTAATTATTTGTTGCTTATGATACTACAGGTGAGACCAGGTAAGAGAGGCGGGCATTACTCTGTACAGACCTGAATTTTAAAAGTAATATCCTAAAGGCCTTTCTTAGTTTCACTTATCAATCAATAAAAGGATAATACAAAAGACCTATATTACTAAGGTAATAACTAAGTCTCGAGGTTACATTGTCCAAGCAAGTGTAGCTAGCTAAGTCCCTACGTACTTATAGATGCCATAGTACGCTTGTGGAGCATGCTAGTCCCGAAGGAGCAGCTACGCTCGGAGCTAGCTAATCACCATTCACTATTATAAACCGACAGCCTTATATAACTAAATCAATCATACGAATAGTTTAGAATAATTGATACTTTTTACTCCTGATTAACTTAGGTGAAATGGGACAATTGATTTACTTGTGCCAGACTTTTAGTATACTAAATTTTGGTAGCGTGTATAGAGCAATGCTCGCCTCTCTTACTTATAATAGACGAATATCCTGAGACTACTGCGGACGGACTTTCTATAAGACTTTATCACTTACGTAAAAATACAATTTTTAACTTGATCTTTTTTTAAGTACTTATTAGATAATAACAAATAGATACATCAATAAAAATAGGGGGAGTACGGTACTTTCTACTATGTAGTGTTGAGAGAAAGGTAGAGTTGGTGTGGGTTACGCATCTGAGCACGGACTACCAATTAGGCGAAGTGGGGGGGAGTCGATTTACTGGCTGCCTTATAAGCGAGATCAAGTGGAAAGGCCTTCAAAGCTTCTTTCTCACTCGAGGGGAGTCATCAACTTTGATGGCAGGCCTCATGACAAAGTAAACTTATTTGAACATCACTGGTCATGAGAATGTTAAGTGTGAATATTTACAGGATGTAGGTGAGCTGACTCACAGGGGTAAGCTCACATGACCCACCACGCTAGCGGAGAAACGTCGGATGACCCTTGAAGAACCTTCACGAATTCATACTCCCACACCACAATATCCATCAAAGCCACCGCCATGACCTCCCTCCAGAAGAATGTAATGTATTGTAAATGCTCTTTTAATGCATCGCCAACTAATTATGCTTAAAATAGGAACACTACATGCGATATGCCGCTTTGGCAGTTCGACCCCTTGGAATGAAGGCGTTTGAGATAAAAGTAAGTACTTGTTAGACTGCCCTCCTCTGCCCAGGCCAGGAGTTGTAATGCACTACTAATATATTATTAATACATTAGGAGGATGGCAAAGTTGTTATTGCACCAGGAGAGCTCTTCTGTAGAGTTGAGGATGAGGAGGTTGATAAAGAATAGATTGAGAATGTACTTATAATACATTTTTAATATATTAACTCTGATCCCTGATCCTATTCCTAAATTCAATAAGTTCCAACTCTCTCCTTTCTAATTGTAACTCAAGATCTCTGTTCTCTAGCTCTAAACGTCGTACTCGAGCTTGGTCTTCTTGAAGCTGTAGTCTTTGTCTTTCTTCTAATATTGTAGTATCGGAATTTAAAGCAGCTTGCGATAGTGCTCGCCGTATAGGCGTCTGAGCCCGGTGACTAGATATATTAGTAATGTATTTAGAATAGTTATATTGCGAATATATTAAGCAGTTACCTAACTCTTCTTGTCCCTCGTGATCTTGAACTAGAACGGCTAGAGCTCCGAGAGTATCCTGACGATGATGCATTTGATAAAAAATCTATATTATCATTATTGTCTTCATTAGTAAATGCTTCCTCTTGACGGCGTTTCCGTCCTATAATATATTAGTAATGTATTGTCAATGCTACTGTGAGGGTTGGAACCCATGATGGAGGCTCGGGCCATGCCCTCGCTAAGCACTGACCAAAGTCCCCGCTCAGCATTGGCTATTGCTCCACTGCTAAATTGGTTTCTCCTTTTCTACACTTTTCTACTCTATTCTTTTGACGTCACGTATTTGTCAAACAGTTTTTTGGAAGACTCCAGAAACTCTTCCTCTCTCTATATATAGAGGAAGAGATTGCATGTATGTAGTCTTCATGCACTTCTTAATTGAATATTCGAAACCACACCTTTGAGCTATTCGAGGTCTGGCCTCTCACAGCTACTCAGAATAATATATAACTATACTTACTTTCCTTGGCCTCAGATATTGCAAATCGAGCAGATAATGCATTAGATCGCCATGTGTGATTGACTCCATGCTCAACTTTCCCTTTATATTGGTTCATATCACGTCGATACAGGAGTTCCCCACTAATATATTTTTAGTAACTTCTAATACATAGAGTCTAATTTATATTAACTTACTACTTGACTGCTTTTAACAGAGACAAACGCTTTCCAAGAGAATTACTCTTGAAATGTGTTTGTTCGACAGCATTTGTATGTCGTCTAGTACGTTCGAATAGTTCATTTTGTATCCCAGTGCAATGTGGGTTGATACCTGAAGCAATACATTCATGCTGCTTATGCTTTGTCCAGTCTACAACTTGCTTAGAGCTATACTCAGAGTCTAATACGTTAGTAATGTATTCCTAATATATTATAAAAATACTTACCAATAAGCAAATCGCATAACTCAAAGTACTCCTCTCTTGACTTAGTATAGAGAAGCTGCTCCATGCGTTTATGTAATTCAGTACTAGAAGTGCCTGTACCTGCAGCTCGTAAAATCCCTCTTTTAAAGTGGATTGTACAGTAGATTATAGCCTGTTTAACATGCCACTGCCATGACCGATTGAGTACATCTACTTCAGCGAGATATCGTCCAAAACCTATCATGTTAGTAATACATTCTTAATATAATATAGATTTCTTACCACTCATTTGACTCGAGTCCATATCCATAACAATACACCCAAAACCAGTTTTATGAAGGTGTTGCCACTTTATCTCGTGGCCAACTTGTAAAGTAATAATACGGAAAACCTCTCTAAATAACGTCGTATACATTTCTGTGCTTTGCTGGTTGACATATACTCGAACAAACGTCATGACTAAATAACAATACATTAGTAATGTATTCCACATCTATTATAGGTATACTACTTTTATTTAGCTGTGGGATAAAAGCTGCAAACACAACCTCATTAATATCCGAGCTTTGAACTCGCTTGAAGCTCATATCTACCTCAAATGACTCAAGAGTAGCTAAGATTTTTGTTGCTTCTTTAAAGCAACAAATAGCCATAAAATTAGAAGTATCAACGTGGATATGTTGAATATACTCTATATATATATTAGTAATACATTCCTAATACATTTACAGACTACTTACCGAGGTTTCCTTATCTTGATGGTTCATTTGATATTCATGCTGTAATCCAGCAATTTGTTGTCCATGAGGATATAAAAGCATCTGCTGCTTTCGTAATATCAAACTAAGCTTATCTGAATTTCCTAGACTCATATGTACCTCACTTAATGTTTTTTTCTGGAATCTTGAGCAAAAGGATGCTACTTCGGGATTCTTGAGCAAAGAAGCTATAATATATTAGTAATATATTCAAAGTGTATAAATAAAATATTACCAGTGGTTAATGAGGGGTCGTTAATCCGCTGGATAACAGATATCAAGCTAGATACAAGCTCTTGTGGCGTTCGTGAGGGTGGTGGAGGAGGGTGGACATGAGTACCATGAGATGTCCAAATAATATAAGGACACTCTTGAAGATTAAATGGCCGGAATAATCGAAAACTAACTTCACAGCTACGTCGAACAAGTAAACCGCGCCCTTGGATATGGTCAATTCCTATATTCTATTAGTAATACATTAAGAGTATATTATTCAGAAGCTCTACCACAATGTTGCCGGCGTGTACTATTCTGCTCAATTACTACACATATCTCTTTCTCTACCTCAAAAGTAGATAGAGCACGCTCTCTTAAGAAATCCACTTCTGAGACAAGACTAGCAGGAATAGGACGAAAGTAGTGTTTATTCCCAGGCGATGAATGGATACAGCGGAAGCAGTGCTGGAAATCACCAGAAATCGTCTAATATATTAGTAATATATTTGAAATACATTGTAGGAGTATAGTTACTGGGACAGGTGATGATGATAATTGATAGGTACAACTATCTTGCTGATCTCTGCAAGCTTTGTTTGTTTGAAATTGGAGCTGAACAGCTAAGAATAAACTAGATAATTGACTTTAGTTTTATAATATATTAACAATATTAGTATAATATATTACCTGTTTGCTTCTCTCTTCTTGTTTGACATAGCAACAGACTTTCGTCTTTCAATTATTTGTTGCCAATCTTGATCTTCTAATTTTGTATGCTGCATTTGTAGAATTGTAGCGTCAAGATATTCACAATGAGTAGCGCCAGTACATATGTAAGAGAATCTTTGGCAATGTGCACCATTCAAAATACTTGAATGACATTCCTTGGTTGGGTGAGAACGCTTATAACAGTACTGAACCTATAATACATTAGGTATATATTATTAATACATTAAGGAGTGCTTACATTCTGGCACAGAAGATCTATTTGCTCCTTGGTCATATTTGATACATTAATCACATACGCTACACCATTGATAGATGTTTGAGGATACTCAGGCAAGTCTTCTGTAAAGAGTACTTCTGTAACTCGTGTTGGATTTCTAGAGATACTACTAGAGATTGTAGTAGTTCCAATCTTAATATATTAGTAATGTATTCGGGATACATTAAGAAAGTGATTACCTCTGGAATCTCCTCGTCAACCACCTCTCGTTCTTCGTACACCCTTCTATTCTCAAATTGCCACTCTAAGTCTTCTAAATCATCAAAATTATTTACCCAGGGCTGGGCAAATGGTATATCGATTCGAGATTCCATAGTAATTGATTGAAGGTGAATGACAAATTGTGGAGTGTTTGGTGGAGTGTTTAATGGTGTTTGATTATCACGGAATTACAGGTCAGAATGCAAAAAAAATAATATCTAGCTCAGCCGACCATGTCACATGATAAGTGGAGATTTTTGGGTCAGCCGACATAATCCTTGTGGGGCAGCCGACCTGTATTCTCGAATATTTAAGAGACATGTCAGACGAGCAATATTGAGACAATTTAAACAGTAAGTCCCAGTGATAATCTCAAATCATCATGATACCGAGCTGGGAACTCCTGGAGAGCAATAAAGCTAACCAAGAGAAAAGAATATATAATACATCCAGTGCCTTCAAGGCCTCCATATGTCAAACTCTGCCCAACGTAAATTAATACAAGATACAAGATCTTCAACTTAGGATAACTTTAGCCTCATCTTTTCGCTTCTTATCCTCTTTTGGCTTCTTGCTTGGTTTTGTTGTAGCCGGTGGAGTTATCGTGCCATTGTTTCCACCGCCTTGAATAGGCTTCCCGTCCGGACCACATAGCGGAATATTGAATACCTCGCCGACTGCGATCTTGTCCGGATCCTCAATCTGTGGGTTTACCGCCAAGAAACTTGGTAGTGTTACTCCGATTTTTTCCTTCGCAATGATGTTGAGAGTATCGCCGGATACAACAGTATATGTCTTATCTTTTCCTTTGGAACAGACAGCCGTTGGCTCAGCCAGCGGCTTTGGCTCAGGTGCGACGCAAGCTTTGTTTGGGATGTTGATCTTGTCGCCTGGGTTGATCAATCGTACGTTTCTTACTTGAGGATTGACGAAGATCGTTTGTGCAAGTTTGACTTTTTCTTTGTCAGAGATAGAGGACATGCTATCTCCAGACTCGACCTCAACAACTTTCACAATATCACAGTTGTCTCCGATGGTACCATTCTGTGTAGGTGGTTTGGCGACGTTCTTGTCCCCGTTCTTTGTTTGTGGGCTTGCGAAGGCAGTTGGTAATAGGAGGAGTCCCAGACTCAGGAAAGAATAGAATGAGGTATGCATTATGAAGGGATTTTTTTTGATTTTTTTTGGATTGAATGTATGTTTTTTTTGGTGGTTTTTCTGATATGTTTTGTTTGACAGCTGGCTAAGGTGGGAGACGCCCTCCCTATCTATAGATCGACAACCCTGAGACCCAAGAGATTGGTTCCCCCGCGGGCAATTCTACGATGCGATAAGCCTAGCTCGTGCAAGAGAACATCTTCTCCTCACATGGCTTGATTTATTCAAAATGTACTGCCGACCCTGCCGTTCGTAAAGTCAAGTTTCAAAATTTCTTCAGACGTGCCAATCAGGGCAGCTTGGCGTTTTAAGGAATATATGTGGGTCTGTTTGGGCGAAAAACTGCGCAGTCTGATTTGAAGTTCTCTCGGTCTGCGGATAATTAAATTGCGGGATGACCTTTTGTAAATAAGGTTAAGCCTAAACCCAAGGTGCCCCAACTTCTCGCTTCAAAAACGTGGCCTGGAGAACTTTAATCGCAGATTCTGGTGGACGCTCAGAGGCTGAGTGGCGAGTTTAACCGATTTCCCCGCTAATACCGGAAACAATGACTTCATTCTCAAAGATAGGGCCCTTTCTGCTTTCTGGAATTATCTTTGAAGTACTGTATACGGAGTAAATGATCTGCTCGATTTCCAGGCCGAGCCAGAAATCAATAATGCTTACCTATACCTACGTTTACGAAGTAGTAAGATCACACAGTTTCTGACATCACAGCAGTCCGCATGCGAGAGTTGAGCCTTCGAACGGGTTTCTCGCTAGTGACTGGGCAGTCCGGTCGTTTACACACAACCGTTGAGTAGAGCTCCGCGCAGGCATTAACTATTGACGGTTTCGACATGGCGTGATTTAGGCCACGCTCTTCTTCAACAAGCTTGGGGACAACCCGTCTTCAATTTGAAATCTACACTACCTATCAAACGAAACACAGTACTAAATTGCCAGATTCGGCGAATAAGAGCCTCAGCGTTCATAGATCTCTTTACATGAGTGCTTGATCTCAATTACGCGCGAGAGGGGCAATGTGAGAGATCCAAAGAGGACTAAGAAATTTCAGATCCGAGGGAAGGGTTTACACCTACTCGGGTACTCAGAGGTAAGCCCGATCTGGAAGGAGCGTGGTGAGTCTCGCTTTCGTCGAGGTAACGAGGTTGTGTAACGTCTTGGTCTTTCCCTCTCACCTTTGAACGCGGCGCAACCTGGATTACATACTTTGTACCTGCAGATTTCACGACGGGAACGTCAACCCTAAATCGTACCTTCATTCTTGGCATCAACCCTCTTGAATTTGACTGACCTTCCTCACCTAAGGAATCTTGAGGACTCGACTCTCACTTAGTCGAACTGGAGGAGGATCGAGGTGTTTCATTCCCAAAGAATTCCCATCATCCACGACTTTTGACCACTTGGATTTTGAAAGACACCCTTCGAGTCGCGACTCTCCAGACGCCCAGGCATCTCCAGTAATCGCCACGTGTGGATCATGCGGCGAGTCGATTAATCTCCGTAAGTACCTCCGTAAACACCGGAGTGACGTCTACTCCGTTTGTTTCGCCAAGGTGACTCGTCTTCTTGTCGATAAGAAAAGTGGAAAGATTCTTTTTCTTTCTATTGGCGTGAGGAGTCCAAGTATCTAACTATGTGAATAGTTGTAGGTAATAGTTTAGGACGATTACTTTGATTGTCGCAGGATTTTTGCTTGGTTATTGGGATTAGTCTGCCTAATAGAATAGTTTAGATCAAGTTTCGCTGATAGAAATGGGATTTTTACTAACATTATTTTGTTCACCGGGAACGCATGTTACTGTTCAGTTGCTCCTCTCATGAGAACTAGCATTTTACAGAAACAATGCTCATTCTATAAGAGAGGCGATTACTACCCTGAATACACCTAGTTTAGTACAGCATTATCCTATGCGCTTCGCACAACCAGAATAGTTGTACAAGCAATGCAGAACAATTTCAGTCAATAAATCTTTATTGCTCTAAACTGTTTGGGATAATTAACCTGGTTACATGAGGAGTTTTAGTACAGTACAATAAATTCTTAAGGTGTGTCCAGAGTAATGCACAGGTCTCTCTTACATGCCCTTCAAACCCCAGAAAGCACAAAAAGGCTCTAAATAGCCACTCACAGTGTATAGCGAAATCGTGTCCCGTCATTTCCTACCATCTTCTTCTCTTCCTCCCCAATTTCCTCCCTCGCATCCGCGGCTTTGTTCTTTCTTATCAACAGAAACTCCATAACACAAGCTGCAAAAAGTCCAACAACCGTTATTATAAGGCCGGCTTTAAACCCAGTCTTATATTTTGGTGCCTCTTGCTTGATGAAAACGTTCGCAGAAACGAAATTTGCCGAGTTACCAAACCCCAATTGTAGTGCGTGCACAACAGCTTTCTTAGGACGCCCAACCGTATTCGCAGAAAGCCAGGCGACAAGTAAAGGAAGTTGTGCAAAAGCGCCAGCCGCGATTAAGTAGAGAGAGAAGTATCTCACGCCTGGAGGATTAACCTGTGCCAGTTGGATTGACCAGCCGATCGTACAGAGTGTTGGACCAACAATTATTAACGGGAAGCGAATACCCCATTTTCCGGCTCAAGAAGTAGAAGAATCGAGAGCTAAAAGATTAACACAGAAACCGAGTGAACTTTATCTCTGCTGCGTAGCCAAAAAATATATTTGAATCAGGAAGACTGAGGACCCACCTGCACCAAAGTAGATAACAATATTGACCCATGTTTGCCAATCCAAGAGGAATTCTATCCATGGCTGACCTTTGAAGCTTTCTGCCTCGTCACCTCGTTCAACGCTCAATCGATGTAGTAGGATTTCTTTCTCGTTCAGAGTGAGAAACTTGGATTCAGCGGGAAAGCGAGGGAGTACCACAATCGCCAACAGTGCGACAAAAATGTTAAACAAGCCTTCCAATATGAATATCCATCTCCAAGAACTGATCCCTCGAGTACCGTCCATGAAGTTTATGGCATAAGCGAGGAACTGTGAACGCCAGTCAGATACAATAACTCAATCAGCTGCAGGAAATACCTACACTACTGAAAGAACCTCCAATCAACGCACTTGTCGTGAAACATGCATAGCGAATGGGGAATTCATGTCTTCGGTAATATGATCCCATCATCAAAGCAGCAGCAGGGCCCAAGCTGCCTTCAAAAATCCCCATAATTGCCCGACAAGCATACAGTTGACCAGGAGTCGTGACAAAACCTTGACACATCGTAACAATTCCTAAAGTTGTCATAGAAACTCCAAGCCACCAGTTGGGTGGAATTTTCGAGTGCGTCATGAGAATGTTTGATGGGACTTCCATCACGAAAAATGTAGGGAAAAAGACCCAGACGGCTGTGTTGTATCCATTTGATGGCATCTTGAGATCCTTCTCTAGGTTCAGAAGTTTTGCGTTTCCAATGTTTGTTCGGTCGAGATAAGCTGTTAGGTAGAGTGCACAGAGCATCGGAACTAGTCGTATGTCAATTTTTCGAGTGATTCGAGATCCCGTTGCCTTGTCTTCTTCCATGCTACCATTGCGGATGCTTCTTGTCGGGCAATTCAAAGCCACTATCAGCAGTCTTTGAAGCCATTATAGAGTGGGTCTTCTCAGCCATTTTGCTGATGGTATACTGAAATATTATCAGGTACCCGGGCTAGGATGGGAGAGTGTTTTGGACGAGGAAGATCGTGTGAGGTAATTTTGGTACTAGGTGTTAGGTAGGGTTTGTACAAAGTACTATGAAGTGCTACCGGGTATTGGAAACAGTTCAAATACTGGAAACAGTTCAAATATTTGGAACTTCTGTGGTTGGTTCGCCCACGGTTTCTTGTCAGCCTCCAGAATGAGATTGCAACTCAATGAAAAGGTTGAGAAAGATAGCAAAGTATATCTCAGAAAATCAGCAGGTGACATGTATAAATCTACAGCTAGAGATTGATACAATCGAATTCCATAGGAGTGGGATGCTTCCCAATGGTCTCATTATTGCATCATAGAGAGAGTTGCTTTTAATGTTCGTTCTCCCAACTGGAAAGGTGGGGTTGTTTTGTGTGGTCGCGATAAGATGCTCAAAGCAGAATGCCAGGTATAGTCGGATGCCTGTAAGCGCAACAGTGCATAAAAGAGCTACGAGGATAAATATCGTGTTTTTCACGCCAATTTAACAAGAATACGAGTGTGGATAAGTTTCTTTGGGCATTAATTTAAGTATTCTCCGAAGAGATATAAAGAAACATTAAGTTAATGGGTCAGATAAAGCTTCATGGCCTTTGAGTTAAAATATGGAATGTATCTCGAGAAGGAGGTGGTTGGCTATCACGAGCAACTGCTTTTGTAAGCTCTTTGGCTGAAAGTTTCGATAAGAATGGGATCGTAGGAAAAAGTTGATTTGTTTAGAGATTTGGTTAAAATATTTAAGAAATGTTAGCCATTCTCGCTTGAAGGCTTGGTTGTAAATCGCTGGCTGTCATAAGAATAGTTAAAAGCGGCTCTTAAAATGAATGAATTTTCAAAGCCGCTAACCAATATGGAACACCGTTAGCTTGCTCAGTCATATTTCTATAGCTCTTCGGCATCGAGAAAACAAAGAGGGGAGTTGCATCACGTGATTCGATAACTCTACGCGTGTCTTGCGTCTTCTCTCTTCCTGGTGTTGCACAACATGCTCCATGGTGTTCTCCTCCAACTACCTGGCCCAGAAATCAACCTTCTCCATGCAGATGACGACTGATCGAGGTCGCTGATCCCACATTCTATGTCACCGTCACTCGCTCGTTGGGAGTTGGAGCCTGGTTCCCCTCTCCCTCCGTACACATGCTGGCGAGGCTGGTCGTTGCTGATCGGCTCGCTAAATGAAAGTTAGATCCTAGTTAGTACTCCTCTCTCGATTATACAACTTAGATACCCTAATTTCAGAGATTCGCACGACTTTACTACCTTTATCCCTACGCCTGTTGGCACGCTACTTTCTTAAGAACTTTTTAGGTACAGATAAATATAAGTAACTCGATTCTTGTTATCTACTACGTAATAGTCTTAAGTTGAAAAGTAATTAACTATATATAAAGCTATTTATAGTCTGCATATAGTTTTCTATAGGATTAGAAGGTAGGGGAGAGGGACTAATATAAATACTTATATAATTAAATCGTATTTTCAACTATACCTGCCTACGTAGGAGGAGATAGGAGGTAGCTACCTAGCTACTTATAAACTACTTAATTATTCTAAGTACTTTCAAAGTTGCAAATAGCTTTATTTTTTCTCTTTACTCTCGCCTTATTACTCGCAAGTTGGGCGTCCTTTAGCTTAGGAGAAAAGCAGTATTAATATCCAGGGCTTAAACTACCTCTAAGACGTATTTATCCCTTTAGTTATACACGACGAGGGTAGCGTAAGTGATAGAAGAGAGTTTCACAGGGGAAAAGGTAGTAAAGTTGTGCGGATCCCGAAAACTAGGGTATTCAAGTCGTATAACCCCCACTCTCTCTTCACATATGCTGGCGAGGCAGCCGAAGGCTGCTGGGTGCTGATCCACTCGCTTGATGATCTGCTCGTTCGTTGGAAGTTGATGGTTACTGATCGTTGTGATCGGCGACTGTAAGCGGCTGGCTGTATGCGGGGTTGGTGTATCTCAGGCTTGCATGGCTCAGAGGGATAATATCCATCCTCGTTCGTAGCAGAGTCTTTTTTTGGCTGCGCACCATTCTAAGCTTTCGCTTTTGTTCCTTTCTTTGAATGTCCCCATACTTCTGACCACGGATAAATGTAACGGGAGGATTGAGTCTGCAGCGCCGTTGTGCCTTAAACATGCGTGGCTGTATGGATCGGAGCACTTGCATCAAGGCTCACTGTCGGGGCACTGGTTACAGTATTGTAGTAAAATTTATCTCTGGGGGCGAGGCTCACCGACCCGAAGGAGAAAAATACATTTATGATGGATTGCAATTCCACTTTAGAGTCACTCCATTGTCGAAAACACTTGATCCTCCCTTCTCCTTCTCATTCTCTCTGGAAACGAAATTCCCAACCAAAACATCTGCGCCTCCGTCACGTCAAACAAACGCAAGTATCAAAAGTCTTGCACTGGACCTCTCTAAAACTCGCTAAAGCTAATAAGCAACTCAGAGCCTTACATATCTTCCACCATTCAACCCAACTCCTATTCGGGATCCACAAAGAACGGTTATATTCAACCACAATCTACTTCAACTTCCACAGCCAAAAGTACCACACAAGGCATCTCCACTGAGACGAAGGTGAACATCATAATAGGTGTTCTCACGGTCTTGTTACCACTATTCAGAACACTACTAGCATGGGCTACCTTTCGACTCACTGGATATCGTCGCTATCCAAAGAGCATTTGTAAGAACCTTTCGCTTTTGAAAGGGTATATATATTCATGTAAGTAATACCTGGACATCACAGGCATGCCAATGGAGAAAACGACTCCGGAAACTCACATCTATCCCGTCTCTGAAACGTGTTCGGTGAAAGACGGGTATCAATATCGCTATCATGAATTGTCATTATGCTCAGAACGAAGCAGGTGGTTGTAAAGTGAATAAGAGAAATAGATAGGTTTTGATTCATGATATGTGATCGGGTGGAACTATGTTAAGCGAAAGAAATTTGAACTTTTAGAAGGGATGTTGTAATCTTAACTAAATTAGAAGATTTGAAACGGTGAAACCACAGCATAAGACCCACAAAACGAGCAAAGAGAATCACACATCTTGGTGTATTTTTGTGAGCCTTGAAAATCAAGATTTTGAAGCAATGTACTCAAGAAATAGAGTTTTCAAAAATATGATATATGCAACACCAATTCGGTTGTAGGGTAGTGTTGACCAGAAATTCCAGAATCCAATCTCGAATTACCATGACATGATAAAACTGCTGGTACGAGAGGACATATTGGGCTCATAACTAAGAGGGGTAGTACAAGGGTACTAAATGTAGTCGTATATTGTGTCTAGCCAAAAACGCTAAATGGGTAAAAGGGCTCGAGTATTTATAGCAAGAGACCTGTCTATCACTCTGAACACACCTTGGAAAAGCGTTGTGCTAGAACAGAAAGAAGTTGATTGTGAAATGTGATTTGATTGTCCATTGACCAAGTGTCCCGAAGGACGTCTGCAAACTGCTTATTTCTAATACATATACACCTTCCAAGTCTGAAGTTCACACTCCCGCTAGAACTCTTTTTACAATCAACATAATAGTTCCAAATGACTTGGATTAACTAAGATGTATTAAGCCAAATTGTCCTAAATTGCTCGTATAATAATTTTAGTTACATTCGTCACGTTATAAAAGAGGCTTATTATTGATTTCTTATATTGCTGGCTAGCTTTAAATACTTGGACTTCTCATACATTATAGACTAATCAGAAGGCTCCATTTAGTATAGCAAAAAGAAGTATTAACATCCTAGGCCTCGCTACCTATAAAGGTGTATAACTAACTAAAGGCGAGACTTAGCTCAAGGGGTATATAGGCGGGTTAAAAGAGCTAATAATCGTACTATATAGAACGATAAATATAGTGTTGTTAATAGAGGAGTATACTCGTATATAGGATATTTATCCTACCGAGTTACTTAGTAAGTACTCCCTTATTTATAATAAACTACTACTATTTATTATTTATTTGTTACGTTGTAAAAGAGGCTTATTATTAATTTCTTATATTACTAGCCAGCTTTAAATACTTAGACTTCTTATATATTATAGACTAATTAGAAGGCTTTATTTAGTATAGTAAAAAGAAGTATTAATATTCTAGGCTATCTTTGAGGGATATAAAGAACTAGCTACTAAAGAAGATAAATTAATGTTGTGCTGGGTCTACTTTCTCTTTTGCTCCACTTCCTGATTTGATCCACTTATAGCTCTGCTGCCTAAATGCTTCATGTCTGCCTAAACCTTACACTCTTTATATAAATACCTTAGATAGCTACCTTTTACAATGCAATCAATTCTCCATGACCTTCAGTACCCAATACCCTTTCAACCCAATGGTTATGAGCCCGGTAGCCACTTTTTGACTGCAAAATTTGACCTTTTACCTTCAATTAATTGATTCATCTTACACTTCTCTGCAACCTTTGTTTGTATTCGACTTGCCTCAGCTCAAGGAGTAGTCACGATAAACAAAGAACCCTCTCGAACTCCCGTCTTGAGGTCATCATCATGTCGACGTCCAAAAGCATCACCCTCTTAAACCCTAAAGACTGGGATCCGTGGATATTTGGCGTCAAATCCGTTGCTACCAGCAATGGAATCAGTGTTTGGAATCTTTTAGATCCTTCACTTGCAACCCAACCAATCATGCCTGTTCGTCCGGAGGAGCCGACGATACAGAGTATTAACCCAAACGCTACTCATCGAGCTGATCTAACAGCAGATGAAAGAGCAGACCTACGCTTCGACATCTTACGATATGACAGCAAAATCAAGGAGCTCGACAAAAGAGATGCCCTGATTCACGAAGTCCGCAAGCATATCGAAGGCACTATACAC